TTAAAACTCACTTAAAATGTTCTTGTTCTCTTCCATCAGTATATTTTAAGTATATTTTAAGTATATGATGTATATTTAAGTGCATTTTAAGTATCTAAACTTTGTGTAGGGCAACAGTCAATTTTGTATATGAGATATATGTAGTGTAACAAATGCTGATCATTCCATAAAATCAAATGCCCTCTATTACACAGTGAACCTCAATTTAATGGATAGTTTGGGCAATTAGGGAAAATTTTCCAAAAATCTGCTAAACTGAGATATCCACTATATTGAGAAGGTTTTTATCAAGGTTTATTATGAAATTGTTCTTTGAACTTTATCTGTAAAATTGAGATTTTAATTAGTATCTGCTAAATCGAGGTCTGCTAAATTGAGATTCACTGTGTACTATGTTGGTAGACTGTACAACTCAATTAATCAACCCCAACTCTACTCAAATACAACCATAACCCTTATTTTAACTCGACTCAATTAACTTGTGAATACGCCAATATGAAAAAAAAAAAATTTTGTGACCAAAAATTTTATTTGGTTACAAATTCCATAACACAGCATAAGTGATTGGGGTGTAGTATTTGAATGTTGAACTTGAATGAGCCAGGGAGTTTGTACAGATCAAATCACACAAAAAAAGTCTCTTTTTACCATATAGAACATTCTAGAGCAGTTTTTAGAAATTTGGAATATTAATATTGAACAAAAAAAAAAAATAATATACATGCATCACAATTAAAAATTTTAATTCAATTTATTTAGTCCATCACTGTTAATTTTTCTTAATCTTTTGTATCCATTTACAGCATCTTTTGAACATTTAACCTGAGAATAATCAAATTTTAAGATCTGAAGCTTGTCCAGAGAATTCACTCTACTCAAAGCAACATGTACTTGGCCTTCTGCAAAAATGTTTTCATCTACAGACATGGTTATGTGGGGTAAGGTCAACCCTTGTGTTTTGTATGTGAAATTGAAATTGAAATTTATTAATTAACAAATAAATAATAATTAATTCGCCATATCTGACCAGATGCTACTTTATTATTTGAAATTTGATATATTCTTCATAAGAGGTGGTGCATTGCATACCCCTGAACACCCCTGGATTTATTCCCAGGAATATATAGATAAGGTTATATCCTTTTATTCTTTGATCAAATAATAAAGGATACAACCCCAAAATCCATCCAGATATGCTGAATTAATTATTAATATTATTTCTTTAAATTAAAGGTGAAGATCATTTTGATGATAATCATCCAACACAAGAAAAAAACTATTTTTGATAACATTCACCTTGTTTTTTTTTTAATTTATGCTTCCCAAAAAATTACATTTAGATAAAAGTTTTGTTTTCACCAACTTAATATTAAATATTAAATATTAATGTTGAATGTTGAAGTTTAATGTTTAATGTTTAATGTTAATATTAAGGTATCTATACAACACTTTTAATTTTCTGAAACAGCAAAATCCTTTTTTGTAAATTATTTAATGATTTTTAAAAAAAAAGTGAAAAAGTGAATGATCATTCCTGAATCAGATATTTTCATTCCTGAAATGGATGATTTTGTTACACCAATTCAATTCTGTTTCTTTTTAATGTTAAAAAATAAAATAAAATAAATGTCACATAGTAATAGGTGAAAATATAAAAAATATTATCTAGAACACCTCAAACATAACCTTACAAATTATTTAAATGTTGTTTTTCATTTAATAGATGGCAGTAAATAAAGCATCAAGATAATAATATCATAAACAAATACTATCTGAAGATTATTTTTGTTAGTGAAGTGATGAAAAAAAACTGAAACAAACAAAATTCATTATTTGTAAAAAGGATTTTTTTCTTTAAGTTATTTTCCTGCTCAATAATAAAAATTACTAATAACTAAGCTAAAAGAATATCAATTTTATCTTGTTATTAAAATCATATTTGTAACAATGCATATTTTAATAGTAACTTTGTGTTAGGGTTGGCAAATTGACTGGTCCATTGAGAACAGATGGATTTTGGGCTGGTCCATTGCCATTAATAAAATACTAAATGTGGTTAAAGTGTTACACTAAGGGACTCAATGGACCACCAATAGACCATCAATTTGCCAACCCTGCTTTGTGTTAAAATATCATTGAATTTTTTCCTTTTTTCTTCTGAAGAATTTCCAATACTATGAATTCTATCATCAAACATCCACAGAATTACTGCAAAAATTTTCTCAAGATTCATCACCAATTGTTCTTCATTTACATTTTTGCTTGATATATTTAGTTGTAATATGTTTCTAGTCAAAGCTGCAACTTTAAACTCGGAAGAAAATATAAGAAATACCCATTGAATACCAGTAGTCACAATGCCATATGCATAATCGAAGTATTCACCACTAAGGGAATCATTATAATTACATTGCCTATTAAACTAAGGAAATATACATGGATGTCAAGTACAAGATATTATAGAACACCAAGAAAAAAAAAAATAAAACATACATATACTGCTGCTTCTAGTTGTACAATATTCTGAGTTCAAATTCCGAAGCTTTTATTTCCATAATAATAATGCAAAGGAGCTTGTTATGTTGCTTGATGGTGTAATCCATGTGACCAAAACCATATATGCCAAATAAGGTAAATTGGGAATACAATTTAGGACCATTTAAACTTCTGATAATGCTGTGCATAACAGCCAATGCAAATTCAGTTATTGTAAATTTGTTGGCAGATCCTGTTCCACCAAAATTTTGCAGTTTTAACTAAAAAA